TGTAAGCAGATTCATACCTTTTGTTAGAAAATAAGTAAAAAATAAGTATTTTGAACAAAAAGTTTAGATTCATATTTAAAAAATATTCAAGCAATGAGTAGGTAGACTTTATAAAACCTTGCCATTAATAATTATTACTGCGTTGAGAATAATGTCTAGTTAAAAATAAACGAACCAGAAGTTTCTGATTATATCAATCAGAATTCCGGCTATCTTGTAATTAGAATTTAATAGAGTTAATTAGAAAATGCTGATTCGTTCATTTTTAATTCAACCAGACATTCCAAGTAATTTAACCAGATTTTTTTTTTCAGTACATTTACTATAATGTTGAACTTTTCAGTAATCGAAACACTCATTATTTGTTATACCTTTCAATCGATAGATGTAAAGGTCTTTTTTCTTCGAATCGTTAAGAGTTCATGGTTCCCTCTCTCGTCAATACCCTCAAGTCGTTCGAAGAAATATCGTTCGTGCCCTTTCGTTTCTGAAATGGCTTAGACGAGCGATAAAGAAAATCATAGCGCGAGCAATGTCGCGTACAATCTCACCGTAAAATATCGAAAAGTGCATCTCGGCGAGCTTACCTTGAGGTAGGACGGTGAGCAAGAGGACTATTTGGAGACCGGCGACGATCGTATTATAAAACTTTATTCGCAACTGCGATAGACCTCTTGCCTGGTGCGCCATGGCAGATGAATTTTGCAGGCCCAGGTCGAGGCGCGACACCGACTTGCCGATGTTCATCTATCCGGTCCCGACGTGCCCCGTCGTGACCGTGATGCACTGCACAATTTTGCGTGTTCACTTCTACACGCAGCGGTCACCGCCGCGAGTATCGCCCGGAAGCGCTTTGTCACCCGCTGCGTCACTGATTATCATCATCGTGCAGGGTGTCACGAGTCGAGTTCAATTCCGCACGAATCGTCCGCTAATCGATACTCGATGCCCTCGCTAACGCACCCCCCGACTTCGCCGTCATAACCAAGCGTTCTTCCGCGCGCCTCGGTTGTGCGTATTTCGCGAGGTCTCGATCGCTGAAATGTGGCGGCGTATTATTGTTTGCAGAGAGAACGCGCTACGTTCGCGCGACGGTGCTTCCCAACGTTTCGAGCATTCTCACGGGGGATCCTGAAAATAATGATTTCGTACGTGTGAACGACCCCTTCGCACCCACTTCTCATCGTGCGCGGCGTCGTTTCACAATGCGGAATGCATTTGCGTTATCTTTTGAATTCAGCGAGATCGCTTTCAGTTGTTAATGCGGGCTGAAATACCCGCGAATACTGGCGAATCCTAATTACAACTTCTTAATCATGCGTTAGTTGTAAGCTCGAATTCCTTGGCTAAAGAATCATGCATCAATCAAGATTTTAGATTTATGTCAGATTAAAAATTGGTCAGCTCGTCAAGATATATATAATTATTCTAGTGATATAAAATATATCACTTAGATTTTCTAATGTAATATTCAAGCAAAACATATTCGAGAATATAATACTTCTATCTGAGTAGATATTGTCTCTTATTCCTATTTTAAATATTACAATTCAATTTTTTTAATACAACTCAGAATTTTAATAAAACATTAATTCGATATTAAATTTAGAGATAAAATGAAAGTTCTTTTTTTTTTAATTTACATATAGGAACAAAATTTTGAGAAAAATATTTGGGACATGTTTCGTAAACAAATTAAAGTTTCTGCAATTCTAATGCAAAATACTATTTGATACGAGATAGTGAAATGACGTCGATCATTTGAATGTTACTGTCATCTATTGCGATACTTCTTTCTGATATGTACCAGTTGCGAATGTCGTTACTGGCATCGGAAACTTAGGTGATTTACAAGCGGGGCGGTTGATTTACTATTTCACTATCAACAAGAAGAGATTTCTTGTATTCCCCTTGGAAAAACGTGCCGGGACTGAAAATGATCGGTTTCTCGAAACCCCGATATCGTAAATTTTTCATTTTCTTGGTGAGAAAGAATTATTAACACAATTGAAACATATGCAGACTGATGAATCAATCTTTGCGAGCTAGACCAATCTTTTGTAATCGAATAATTCATTAATATTATTACGAGAAAATACATAAAAGAACCCAATTACACACACACACACGCACACACACACACACACACACACACACACACACACACACACACACACACACACAC